AGCTTAGGAAGACTAAGACCCAGACACAATAACAACATGGTGCAACAATTATGTCCTCTGGGATCAGCAGAAATCCAAAGAAGGGAAACATCACATTACTGATCAAGAAGAAGTATAGGAATTGAAGAGTTTTTAGCATCAAGGATAGATAGGCTTGAGAAAAGGCGGGAGTGAGGAGGTCGAAGACCACCAAAGGACGTGTATGCATGTGTATGAGCAAAACCAACGGACACAGACAGTGGGGGAGGGGGGGGGCGGTGAGGGTCTGGGGGAGGAGATGGTGAGGGAGAGGTCAATAGGGGGGAAAGGAGACTCGTGCAATACTTTAAACGATAAAGATTGATTTTTTTTTTTAAGAGTTCATTCTACCACTGAGCCAAAGAATGGAGATGGGGAGGCTTACAGGGCCTCAGGGTAGAGAGGTAAGAAAATTAACTTCCCAAGAACAGAGAAGACAAACAGTAAAAGTTGTACAGTTGAGAAAAGCCTAAAATACAGTAAGTCCTGAAAAACAGAAAGCAGAGTTTGGTGTTGCAAATGAGTGGTCCTTAGCTTTTTTGAAGGAGGCTTTCTTGAACAGAACAAAAGGTACTGTGACTCCTGTGCCCTACATGCTAAATAATAATAATGCTAAGTGCTATAATAAATAAATAAATAAATAAATAAAAATTGCAGTAATTTAATGCTGAGAGTTCATCATTCAGGCAAGGCTCAATGGATGTCCTTGGTTAGTGGCCTTCCATGCCTTCAGGGACCCAGCTTGCTCCTATCTTATGAATCTGCCCTTCTCAAAGATATCCCTTCAGCTAGCACAGGCTTCAGCAGACTATTTCTGTTAAAAAATAATAAATATTTTTAATAAGATGCAGACTAGTCTATACTATTCAACTAGCATAAGAGTAGCCATAAACTACTACCCTGTTTCCCCCAAAATAAGACAGTGTCTTATATTAATTTTTTTCTCCAAAAGTTGCGCTAGATCTTATTTTCAGGGGATGTCTTATCTTTCCATGCGCTAGGTCTTATTTTCGAAGGATGTCTTATTTTTGGGGAAACACGGTAGGTGAGATGTGCTCCAAGAAAACGTTACTCCCAGAAACAGGTAGCAAGCCAGTTGGGGGCCCAGAGTCTGGTTTGCCAACCAGTTTAGGTCTGGAGAGACAATGTGGACAAGTGTGGAGGAGATGTTCATGGACAAGCCCTGGAAATACTATACACCTCTTCCGCTAATTCTCCAAGAACCCAGAACTTGGTCACAGGCTCTTATCCAATGGGGTCTATTCTGTGTATTTGTTAAAAAGAAATATCTGGGACGTCGTTTAGTGAACACAATGCCCACTTGCACTTTTCAGTGGGAAAACAGCGCAGTATTAAAGAAAGAAATGGGTGTGAACACATTATTGAAAATGGTATAACAAACATCTAGGTATATTTGTTTTTTTTAAACGATATTCTGTTGATGCAAAAAAGCAGAGCTTTACAAACTGCAGGGTTAATCATATACCAAATTAGTTGATACTGATGATGCTAAACTACCTGTGATTTACAATGAAGAAGCAAGAGTGGAAGCAATTTTAAAACACAAACAACTCACTGTCAGTAAATGAGCTGATAATTCCAACTGTACTTTCATGTACCTGTGCACGTAGTAGGAGTTTTGCAGCATGCAGTAGGAGTTTTGCAGCATGCCAAGTGTTAGCATGCAGACTTCTTAGAACTGGCACCTCCAGCAAACAACTGCGAACTCCCCACCCCCAATTCAGCTTCCTCAGAGGCACAGCTAACCCGGATTCCTTAACTGGCTGCACTGAGGTTGGGCCAGGACTGAGCTCTGGCCAATGGGACACATGGAAGCCTGCACACCACTGCCAGGCCCGGCACTAAGGATGTCCCACATGTGACCCTCCACTCTCTCCCCCTCTGCATGACCTGGAGGTCACGTATGGAAGGAGGGCTTCACCAGGAGGGGCCTGGCTCCTAAATTATTGTATGGAGCACAGCACACCTCTCATCCCAGCTTAGTGAACTAGGCTGTGACAACAGTGAATAAAGCTCTGCTGTGATTAGCCACTATTATGGGTGGTACCTATCCTATGATAACTAACCCAGAGTTCCTAATAAACTCCAGAAATGTGCTACTGAGGGTATGAATATTAAGTTTTAATAGTCCTCAGAAACTCACTTAGGTTTTTAATGATGTTTGGCTGTGCATAAACATGCACACATTTGCCTTCATGGGTCCATTTTCAGCCTATCAGAAAGATCTTCACAGCCCACGCTGGGCAGCAAGCAGGAGATTAGGGGAATGGAAGTAGCCTTTTAGGAAATCCGTCTATTCCACTGTGTTGAGTTATTCTAAAGTGCTTTCCTAACACCTACTACCTACTAAGTGTCATGCGGGAGATTAAGGACAGAAAGATGAATGAAATGCAGGCGCTGCCCTCAGGTTGTTCATGGTGGTGGGCGGGGACAGAGGGACTGGTCTAGTAGGGAACGTGATGCCAGGGAAGGTCAGAGGAGTAGGGAAAGTCTGCATCACTACCTCCCTCCAGGAGGGGCCTCCAAGAGGGGCCTGAAGAGGATGGAGACTGAGTCACCTGTGGGAAAAGTGGTTCAAAGGGCCCTGTTCTCTGTTGAAGTAACTCCACAAAAACCCTAACTCACTTTCTTAACACTTCTATGCAAGACCATGGGATCTATTCCAGAAACAGAAGCAAAATACAGGATTTCTGTGATTTACAAGGTGATTTCTTCAGGTGGATTTTACTGACACTAAGAAATGAAAGCTCGAACTTCTGAGAAAGTGTTTCTCGGTGCTTTAGAAATTTCTGGATTAAGAAACTTCTCCTGTTGTAATTGTATGCATTACTCACTCAGAGGTAACAGCACAGGTGAGCCAGCTACCCCAGAGAACAAACCCCATTCCCACCCTAACTCTGTCCCCATTCCCACAACGTCAGTCACAGGAGACCAGGAAACTCTGCAAAGAGATCTCTTTAGCACTACTGAGAAAAAATGCACAGCATGCGTCCTGGTGATGTGAGTCCATAGCTTCAAAAGGCACTTGTTTTAGATGCTAATGTGAGAAATCTAAAATGTCCCCTCTAACTGAGGGATGATACTGGACGATAAACAGGTATGTGCTGTTTTGTAAAGACAAAACTACCCCCAACCGTATTCTCCCAAATTCCCTTCCCCCAAATGTGAATGGCATGCTCTCCCTCGATCTGTTTATATTCAATCTTATTAACTAGAGCTACTCTATGGTAAATGTTCTAAATTTACCACAAAGGTGATTTTTGCCACAAAAAGAGTAATTTCCCAAGAGCCTGCAAATGTTTCTGTCCTCACAAAATATTAAGAGAATATAAAAAAGAGAAAGTCTTAAGGTTTTAAGATGTATTTTTTATATGCTTGCAATTATTTTATACATATAATGTGAAACAGCTCTAATTTTTAGAGAAAATGCATTAATACTGAAGTAACCCAAAAACAAAGCCTCAATCTGGCAAAATGCCACACTCACTTTTAAAACCATTGCAGTCCATGTACTAGTCCAAGTGTAGGGGAAGTGAAGCTTTGAGGATACCTATTTTCCATAGGCTGCCATAATATAAATCATTCTTCTACCACTTCCCATTTCCTTTGACTCTAACTTAACCAATCTCTAAGTTATCTTAGACAATTGTTTTCAACTATCTTCTTCAAAAAAAGTTCAGTAAAGGAAGGGAAAAAAATGCAAATTGATTTCTATTTACCCCCATAATTTAGGACTTAATGCAATATGTAAAGTACACTATGTAAAATCCCAAAATAAAATATTTGAGAATAGCATATCAAAACTATTATTAAAATATTAATGCCATAAGATAAAAATGAATTTTTTTCTATAATCTATAAAGAAAAGTGACTAAGTCTTTCAAAAGCCACAGCAAATACCCATTAGTGAAAGAAAAGAAAATACACACTTCCCTCTGAAAGGTTTAAGTGCATGTTTCAATGAACCGTTAGATGATGGAGAGGTGGGAGAGCACCACCTACGGGGTTAACTGTCAATGCTGCAGTTTATATTTATTGTGGGACAAAATTAAGCACTGTTTAAATAAAATATGACACAACAGTATATACAACATAACAGCAGCCACCATATGGGTTCCCTATTTGGAGCCTGGCCTTGTACCTTATACTTTATTTATCACTTATCATCACTCAATCCTACCAAGCTGGAATTCTTTTGTTCCAAAGGTAGGGATGCTGAGGTTTACAGAGGTCACAGAGCTACTAAGCCAGGATTCCCACTCGGGTCTGTATACATTAGCGCCTCGGGGAAAGAATGCCACGTTAGACAGCAAACATCATACCATGCATTTCTTTAATAAGTCACAATAGATTCATCTTATTCTTTGTTTGAGATTCCTTAATTGGCTATTCCATCTTTCATTTCTGCACAATCCATAATTTTAAAGGTGTATAGTTCCAACTTGTACTAAGAAATGGGAAAAGTACCATTACACAACTGAGAACTCATGTTTTCCAAATCTAATCTTCATTATAGTGATTATTTCTATGACTATAAATGGTTATATAGCTATTTTTTATGTATTTATAGTGCCCAACAGGGGTCCCTGAATCCCAATAAACATTCACAAATAAAACGACTTCCACTCAGCCATTTGATGAGGACAGTTAACACCTATTATGAAAACCATTAATACCTAAGCCAGTATTTATTGCAGAATAAATAATAAACGGCTGCTATTGGTCCCCTACCTCGAAATAAACTAGGGTAAGGAATAAGAATCTTTCATCCTCCCAAGATCAAAAGTTCAAATCCAAAGATGTTTGCAACATTGTCTGAATCCATAATTAATTAGAAAAGATAAACATTTTTTCAAGTAAAATAAAAGGACTTTGGAATATTCAAGTATTTTTAGAAGGTATTTGATTCTTTCAAGGACAATACTTCTCAAATAGCACAACTTACCCCAGGGGAAGCTTACCGTGAAGATGGCATTAGATTTGAAGCCCTGAATTTTGTTGTAAACGGATTAGTTGACTCATAATCAAAATAGTCCTGACGATTTTCACTAAACGCATTAGGTGATTTCAAGTCACAGGGGCTCTCGGCTGCCCCATTGTTGAGTTTATCAGCCCTTCTGCTATCTTTCTTTCCGGTCACTCTTTCAAATAGACTAACTTTCTCCCTTTTCTCTCTCTTATTTTCTTTTCTTGCTTCAATTGATTTTGAAAATAAAGTCATGCTGCTATCCCAGGATTCACTGCTTTCTTCAAATGGATTTTTCTTCCTTGGCAGTGTTGCAAATTTTTGGGGTAAGGAAGCCGTCACATTTGTAAATGGGTCGTTTTGTCTTCCGAAAGATGGGGCGCCTTCATCCACACTGCGGTCAGGCTGGTTCATTTTAGAGGTATCAAAGCTTAATGTTCTTCTGTGTGGAGATTTGAGACTTCCTGCAAATAATTTTGTAGTCAGTGCATAATCAGTGACACATTACATCACACTATGACACATTCTGTGTGCACACTGCTGCTTTTAGAAGGAGAGCAATTAGCTATTTAAAGCTTTAACCTTTAAAATAACCAAAGAAAACAACCCGAAAATGCTATGGTATAGCAATCTGGAGCATGTAGGCTAATAATAATTAGTATATTGCTAGACAATCAGAAATTTACTCAGCTCAGAAAGAAAAATAACAAACTAGAATGTCAAAGCTTAGAGGTTCTGCTTGTCAGGATAGTGCTATAATTCTCAAAGACTTTTTTTTCATCATTAGTATTAAATTTACTTTCTTACTTATGAACCTAAGTTTTTTCCCAGAAACGTTCTGATTAAATGGAATATTCACTTATGCTTCAGGTTTTCCAGACAGGAGAAGCAACAGAAAAAATGAAGCCAAGCCCTGGCCCGTGGCTCAGTTGATTAGAGGGTTGTCCCTACACACCAGGGTTTCGGGTTCAATCCCTCGTCAGGGCACATACAAGAATCAACCAATGAACGCATCAACAAGCAGAACAACAAATCAATGTTTTTTTCTCTCTCTCTCTCTCCCCCTTCCTCTCTCTCTCTAAAATCATTCCATCAATAAAAAATTATTTTAAAAAGCCGAAACCAGTTTGGCTCAGTGGATAGAGCCTCGGTCTGCGGACTGAAAGGTCCCAGGTTCAATTCCGGTCAAGGGCATGTACATTGGTTTTGCGGGCATATCCCCGGTAGGGGGTGTGCAGGAGGCAGCTGATCGATGTTCCTCTCTCATCAATGTTTCTACCTCTCTATTCCTCTCTGTAAAAAAAATCAAAAAATATATTTTTAAAAAATTATTTAAAAAAATGAAGCCAGGCCGTGAAAAGTGACTGGGTCTCATTTTCTTAGCATCACCTCATACTGAATGCACACAGGCTCTGTCCTTAATAAGCTCACCGATTTTGAGGATTGTAGGAATTCAATAAATAGCTGATCACTACCTTTAGAAAACACCACCAAGAAACTGTAATTTTTATTTTTTAATTTTAGAAGTTAAACTTCAAACAACTAAAAAGGGTATGTCAGCCACTGGGGGTGCCCTTAGCAAGAACGGTCACTCACCACTCTCCGGCCCGGCTCCGAAGGGCTCTGTCTGGCGGCCGAGGAGATGCGTTTGCCCCGCGGGGCCAGGCTTCAGCTTCTCGGCGGACACGTGGGCCCCGGTTAGGTCAGACATCGAGTGCGCAGAAGAGAGCCGCTGAGGACCCAGAAGGAAAGGCTTTTTCGGTTTAGATTTCAGCTGTGTCTCACCACTGGAAAACTCAGCATTGGCATCCGTCACGTGAGAACTTGGAATGATTGCAGAAGACGTATCGGAAAATGTCCCATCGTTTTTTCTACCTTTCATCTTATCTTTTAATTTTGCAAAAGGCGATCTGGTTTTGTCCTTCATGGATAAGTCAAACATACTTGCTGTCATATTGTTCCTCATGAATTGGATATTGACCTTTATCTCACCCCTGTTTTTGGCTCGTTTTCCTTGTTTGGATTCTAATCTAAACCACCTTAAAGAGAAGGAAAAACTGGGTTGTAACATGTAATGAAAAGAGAACATCAAGCGTGGCTACATACAAATATCTTCTCGGGCAAAGCTAGTGCCCATGAAGCTATGCAATGGAGGAGATTTTGTCCCAGAGAGTACTACCGGTTTTACTCACTGTCAATTATTAAAACTTACCACCATCTCTGGGATGTGATGTGTACTGAAGAAGTAGGTTTTCAGTAAGTTTGAGAAGGATTTCAGATAAACTTTCTTTCATGATTTGAAAATCATTCACATAAAAGATTCTTACCATTGAGAGCTGTTATGTTTCCAGCTGGGGAAGGGGTGGCTAAAGGCCTAAAAACATTTTTTAAAATTAAAAGACACTCAAGAACAGACTTTGAAAGAATTCATTGATACAAACCATTTTGAGGCACTATAAAAATGCTTATGGCCACATTTTTTAATAAAGTAATAAACATTTAGTTCCATCCCCAAATTTCTTCCATAAAGACGATTAAAGTAATTTTGTTAATATTGGAGCCCACTACATGTGGCTTTTTAATCATGAAAATTGCATATGATGTAATTTAGATTAATATATAACGGCCAAAGCCTTTTCCTGAATAAAAAATGCAAAATGAATAAAAGGCAGGAAGTGACAAATAGTAATAAATCTCATAAAGAGTTTTTAAAGAAAAAACAAAGCCTAAATACTTCCTGCTGGAATCTTTGTTTCATTTATTATTGCTACTGTGACAATACAGAATAAAAATTATTTTAATTGGAGCCAAATCTTATGCTGTTAGGCAGCTCGCTGTGTGACATTGCCCACTGTTAAATGATGTATAAGAAACCGAGTTTATTTTGCTTTTGCCCACAGTATTTTTATCCATGAGAAAGTCTCCAGTTGTCAGTGTCACAAGTGATCATTCTGTAGGGCAAACAGCCAACAAACTGCAAAATCCAGTCGAGAAGACAGTCAGTCTCGACAATGCTTTCCCATTACTTAACAATGAAGCATAATATCCATTCCTGCAGACGGGTTATTATTTAAACACAGCTCTAATCAAGTGCAACAAATTTTCCTAGGTACAAAGGAGCTCTGGTCTAATTTTACATTAGTGCTTTCTCTCCCTGTTGCTAACAGGATGTGCCAGAAGAAGGTCTATTTCCTGTACAGCACGGGGAAGACTGGTCTTTCCAGGCAGGAGAGAAAACTGGCACAGAACCTCCATACCAGCTACACTTTAGCAGGTAACATGCAAGAGAAATCTTTTCTTAATTAACGTGAAGCAATCCAGTCAATTAAGATCTAGCTTCACCCAAACGAGCAACTTTTAAAATAAAAGAATATCTCATAATAGAAAGCATCAACCTGATACTCTAAAGCAGTGGTCGGCAAACTCATTAGTCAACAGAGCGGCAAACCGCGGCTCGAGAGCCGCATGTGCCGACCACTGCCCTAAACTGAGAAAATCCTTTTATCTGAGGCAAATGGCAAAATCTGAAGATGCCGAGGCTGGACCTGACAGCAATAAACTCCGTGGAAACAGAACCTTGAACACACGGGCACTCGAAAAGTCTGGAAATGAGACAAGGTTATATTAATATACCCAGTTACTAACTTAGAATTTGGAAAATAGAATCATTTTCAATGGGGGAGAAACACTTCTGGTGAATGATACTGCAGAAATATTCAGTAACATCTCAGGCTTGACAGAAAACAGGTGAATACACTTTTTTAGAAATATACCAAAAACAAAGCAAAAAGAAACCAAGAATGTAGGATTTCCACATGTATAACAAGTCAAAGCAAATTGAGGAAAAAAGTAAAACAATAACCCAATAAATAAAAAGTGGTAAAGGTAATCAAAATTCATAGAATTTTACTAATAAGCCAAGTAAATCTTCTACTTTAACATCCTTATTTCAGAGATGATTAAAATGAGGCACAGAGAATACAAGTAACGTCCAATGTCAAGTTCAAGTCAATCAAGAAAATATCCAAAGCTGATGAATAACATCGGCATGAAAACAGAAGTTCTCCCATATTTGATGAACCATATATGCTAATAAGATTAAAATCACAGCTGGTCATATGTTACGGGCACTCTATTTAATCAACAGCCAACAAAGGCAATGCATTCTACACCAGAGTGTAAACTCCATGAAGGCAGCTCAGCTCACCTTGCACTAAATAAATGTCCACTGGGACTGTATTTTAAAGCAACCAAGCTATAATACACTGTGTGTGCGTGTGCGTGTGCGTGTGCATGTGTGTGTGTGTGTGTGTGTGTGTGTGTTGCATTGTTTTGCTTTTTTGTGGGGAACACTAACGACTTGGATGAGCTTTAAAGAATAAAGCAAGTCAGTGCTTGAATACGACCTGTAAATATTAGTATAGTCTTTCCCAGCTTCCTCCCGAAAATACTGCAAAGAACTTGAACTATACTAATTTGAAACCCAGGCATGACAAATAACTAGAGGTGCTTTGTTTTGAAAGGGAAGTCTTAATGAGACCTTCAAAAATCGCCCGAGATAAAACTTGTTTTCCCAGGCTTCAAACAGACAAAATGAAGACATAGCTTTTGGGGCTTAGTGGATTAATGGCTGATTTTTTTTTTTTCCACCTCTTGAGTGCTGGATTTAAACTGTATATGGCCTCTGTTCAATTTTTAGTGGGCACAGGTCCATGTTCAAAAAGCGCCACACATGTGGGAACTATTGCCAAGCAATTGGTGCTGTGTGGTCAGAAATGGGACGAGATTGGCAGTGAGGGTGCCAGAGGCCAGGGCGCAGGTGCACTGCAGAGACACACACCAAAGTCCTAAAACCGGCATGTGTTTGAGTCATACCCAACTCTGGGGACTCTGATTGTTATTACTTTTCATAAGCATTAAAAAAAAAAAAAAAGTCAACATCACCCACTTCTGTTGTAAAAAAAAAAAAAAAATTTAAATCTATAGATATTACATAACAGCATGAACAATTTTACCATTCTATTATTAAACATTGTATTATTTCCTTAAATCTCGTGCCAGAACCAACCCAGACACCCATGAAAGGGGGAGGCACAGTTTTTTTTCCAGGCTCCGCTCAAAGTGTTCTGCCACAGGCCCCTTCCCACAACCCTCCTTAAAAAAAAAAAAAAAAGGTATTTAACTTCAAGGTATGAAAATAAGTAAAATAATCGTCTTAGCTATCACACTTCTTTGCCCATCAGGACACAACTGGAAGACAAGCTGTAAATACTTGTCCTCAGTGTCAGGAGTCAAAAGTGTCACACCCAGCAGTTTCATGGGACTTCTAACTCAGCTGGTAACCTTCATCCTTCAGACCAGTTTTCTAAAAAGCACTTGGGAATACGCTGACAAGGCTCAGCACTGTGCAGAATATTAAACATCTTTCTTGCAATACACCAGTGACTCAAGCCTGTCTCTTACTGTGCCACAGGCACAGCTGTGCTGCAAAAGGAAACTATTAAATATATTAAAAACCAAGAAATATTACCAATAAAAGATACCTCATCTAATATGGAGTCCCTGTTTATCCACAAAGAAAGAAAATGGTAAGGGTTTAATAACATGAAAATCGCTTCGAATGCAATAACAACGCAAGCCCTGCTGATAACGTTTTAAAGCGTTTCCCCAAAAAAGTTCTAACCCATTTTATATAGTAGCCAACAGAGAATAGCCACAGGGAGGCCTCAGCATGACTGTTTACCGAGAAATGGTTTAGAGTTGTGATGTTGCCAAAAATAAGGAGTAAAGCGAGGAGAAAGTTTAAAAGCTTATTTCATCCTCAGAATCTCTGGGTTCACAGTGGGGCCTCCTCTCCCTTGGAAAATGTACATTTGAGGGGAGGCCTGTAATACAGCATTCATCGCAGAAGTACTGTCAATGCAGTGAGAACAATATACTTCCAAGTTCACTCAAAACACCCTGAATATGATACAGTGGCATCCAAAACTGATCATGGGAAACAAGTTATTTGATAATTATCCATTTTCAATTTAAATTGGAGAAATCCCTGAGAGGAAACTAAATGCCACTTGGTAGGTATCAGTTTTATTAAAATCTTTGATATACACTCAACCTTATACTTTTAAATGCCCTTTCCCTCACAATGTTTTCATATCCTTAACTAGTCTAAATATTTACCTTTGTTTGTCTTACATGCCTAGTATTTCTTATCTCTCCACCCTTTTACCCTGTGCATTCAGTCTTAGGTCCAGATCTGATGGAAAATTTTTTAAAATTAAAATTAAAATTCCAATCAAGAAAAGCTTGAAGAAATGCATAGGGAAAAAAAAACACAAGGGGTGGTCACTTTAACATAAGAAATTAACCTGTCAAGAAAGTTATCATTATGCAAAAGTTTCTAAAAGCATAACTAAATTTTAGTTATCACTGAAATAAACAGCAAAGCTACTTTGGAAATTTCAATTCCTCTCATAAATTCAACCTATACTGATCTCTTATTAATTCCATCAATTATAATGTTTTCTCAGAACAGAAAAGTTATGTTGGAGGAAGGGGTGAAATACCGAGCTCTGAAAACATTTCAATGTGAGACCTAACACCCTCGCGTTAACTCATATCATGGTTTTTAAAATTAGAATATATTTAGCCTGAGCTAAAGTCACCTATCAAAAGCCACATTTTCACTGGCGATATCATTACATCATCTCATCACAAGAATTGAATCACTGTCTCCAATCTGACATTTACTATGATCTAAACGCACTGGTTTTGCAGAAGTAACTCTGCAGAGACACAGCAGCTCCAAGAATACTGGAAGTTCAAAGGAAAATGTTGGTGTGTTCGAGTTGAGGATGTGTGCACATACTTTCAAAACTTTTTCTCTGTGAACAGCTAACCTGAAAAAAGCGGTTGTGTTCCAATAAAGGCCCCTGTGGTTACAATGCTGAAATGACATACTGCGCGCTCAGTGTGATCATGTATCTCTCACAGCCTCAGAGGCCAACCTTCTATATGACCTCATACTGGCAGATTCAGTTTTCCGCTATTCCATTTCCTGGAAATGTGGAGTGTTTAAAGACAGCCATTTACACACGTGCTGTTTGAGCGGGTCAACACTGCGACCCAGTCTTCTCATAAGAAACCATGTCCATCGACTTCCAGTCCAGTGCAAAATATTCAATTGCTTAAGATGAGTACTTGGAACAAATGAGAGGAAGGGACCACCTGAAGACTCCATTGAAAAGAAAATGTTTCTTTACAAAGGCTATTTTTAACTTCCCAGCCATGCAGCTAGGGTGCTTAAAACTGGGTCACATCCTAGTCCAAAAAAAAAAAAAAACCAACGCCCCACATAGACCAATAATTTCCAAGAACAGAAAAAAAAAATCCATCCATACACAGCGAAGCGCCCACAGCGAAGCGCCCCCAAAGTCAAAGTAAATGACGTCACTTACTCGGTTTTCCTCCTTTGTTTGTCCTCAAAGATGTCATTGAGGTTGACTGCCACCTGCCCCAGGAACTTGTCCAGCCCCACCAGGGACCTGTGCATCACTACCAGGAGGAGGATGTGCTTGTCCGGGCTGCCCTGCACCAGCAGGCCGGGCAGCTCGAAGGAGGCCTCCTCCTTCCAGACGGGCTCCAGGCTCTTCTCGGCCACGGAGGTGGAGTACTTCTCCTTGCCCAGCTGGATGATGGTGTACGTGTCATTGGTGCCACTTTTGCCCTTCGGCCTGAGGTCCCGGGCCTGGAGCACGGTGACCTGCACGTGGGTCGGGAACCACTTCTGGGCTTGCTCGGACAGCATCCTCCCGCCTGGCTCTGCGGGGTCCCCCGTCCCCCCCTTTCCCCAGCGTAGGCGGCGCCCCTCCCGGCGGGAGAGCGGGCCCCGGTCACCGCATCCCTAAGGGCACTCGGCGGGGACGGGCCCAGCTTCCCGGGGGGCTGAGGTCCAGGGGCGCCCCTGCCCGGGGAGCAGCCCGGGGAGCAGCCCGGGGGCGGGGGCGCGGCCGCGCTGGGGGGGCCCTGTCCTCAGAGGCGCAGGGGCCCACCATCCCCCGGGCCCGGCCGCACCTTCACGCCCCGCCGGCCCCGGGGACGGGCCCTGGGCGGCGGCGGCGGCGGCTCCCGGGCCTGCGGGCAGGTGAGGCCCGGCCTCCGGGGCGCGGGCGGAGGGCTGCGGAGGGGGAGGCGCCCCGCCCGGCCCGGTCCGCAGCCCCGGCCCCCGCCCGCCTCCTCGGGCCAGGCGGCCCCTCGCGCTCCCCGCGCCGCCCGCCCGCCCGCCCGCCCCGGGCCTGCCCCCGGGCCCGCCGGGCTCCTCCTCCTCCGACCCCGGTAAGACGAACCGCCCGCGGCCCGCGCGGCCTCGCTCCCTCTCGCAGCCTCTCCCGCCTCCGCCTCCCGCGCTCGGCTCCTCCCCGCGGCGGGGCGGGCGGGGCGGGGCGCGGCGGGCCGAGCGGGCCCGGGGCCGGCGGCGGGCACCGGGGCGGCGGGCACCGGGCTCGGCCGGGCCGGGCCGGCGGCTCCTGGCAGCGGACGGGCGGTGGGGGCGGCGGCACTTCCGGGTGGGCCCTCTCCACGCTGCGCCCGGGAGCGCGACGGGGCGGGGCCGGGCGGGGTCGGGGGTCAGCGCCGCCCTGGTTGCCGTGGCGACCGAGGGCGCGCGGAGCCTGCTGCCTTCCCAGGCGGGATGCTCCGGGCTGGGTGCTCCGGGGCTGGGTGCTCCGGGGCTGGGTGCTCCCGGCCGCCGGCCGCCGCGCTGGGCTCCGGGGACTCGGGGGCCGCCCCTGAGAGCCCGGCCAGACCCAGAGAGACCCCGTTTCAGTCTTTGGGAGCCGTCTTTGCTGTATCCCGGATACCTTGTGCCTGGCACAGAGCCGGCCTTCCATAAACAGGGATGGAATGAATCAATCCCCAACTGAAAACAGTTTTCTCAACTCCTTATCTCCTCTTCTTCTTCTGAAATAAAATAAAATAAAATAATAAAATAAAAGGCTGTTAATGGATTGGAATGACTCCCCTCCTCTTCCCTTCTTCTCCCCCTCCTCCCCCCCACACACACGCACACAAGGAAAATGAGAGAGGGATGCAGATAATTCCGAAACTAACACAGGGATGAATAAAGATAACTGGAGGGGAGGCATTGGGCTGGAGTCATCAGGCCTGTTTCCAGCCACCATCCTTCTGTGTCGCCTTGGTCCAGTCATTTCCCCTCCAGAGCCTCAGTTTTTGGTTTTCATTTTGATTAAGGTATTACATGTGTACATATATTCCCACTGCCCCCCCCACTCCCATATATGCCCTCATCCCCAGCCAGTGTCTTGTGTCCATTGGTTATGCTTACATGCATGCATACAAGTCCTTCAGTTGATCTCTTATCTCCCCCATCCCTCCCCAACCTTCCCGCTGTAATTTGACAGTCTGTTTGATGCTTTACTGCCTCTATATCTATCTTTTCGTTCATCAGGTTATAATGTTCTTTATTATCCATAAATGAGTGAGATTGTGTGGTGTTTTTCTTTCATTGACTGACTTATTTCACTCAGCATAATGCACTCCAGTTCCATCCAGGCTGAGCCTCAGTTTCTGTGTGGATAATAAGAAAACTCATGTCTAAGTCTCCATTGTGACTCTGTGGACTCAATGTCAAAAGAATCCTGTGGGACACTGTGTAGTCTGGTAGACTATCCGGTTTCTGAAGTCAAGCTCAGAGACCATTCTGGTCACATACCATCAACTAAGAAAAGCCAACTGCTTCGCCAAAAGCACAGACAATGCCTTAGCTGCTCCTAAGGGCAAGGCCTGAGCCCTGCCCCACCTCACCCCTCGCTCCCTGCCCCATATCCCCCATCGGCTGCTGGAATGAAATGGACTTTGTTAAGAAAATGGGGAGATGTTAACACTATGCTTTTCCCACACCAGCCTGATCTATGGGTAATGGCTGATGAGTCAGGAGCCTTGCTTGACGTTTTAGCTCTGCCAGGAAGTCAGGATCTAGTCCGTGGTGGCCACTCAGCTTCCTGAGGCAAGGAATTTAGGTAGACAAAATAGCTGGGAGAAGTATTCTGAGATAATGTATGTTTCCTAGCATGGTATGGCACATACTTCTAAATTTCTCTTTGCCCACCTATTTCTCAATTATGAGAGACTTTTTTATATTACCTTTATCGTTTTTATTTCCATTCATGTCTTATTTTCCCAGAGAAAGTCTAAGTCCTTTGGGTTGCCTCGTGTACCCAGGATCAATCACTTCACAGAGCTAGCTAGCAGTAGGCACTCGGTTTGTTGAATGACTATGCTTTTTCTTTCTTTGACTAATTTTGAGAGTAAAACAATATGATGGATGTGCATACAATTTTCCAACTTAAAATGGCCATAAAAGTAATCAGGTATTGTGCTTATTACTTTCAGGCACCGTTTAAAAGTTTTTCATTTAAGGAATTCATTTATGTTCTCCATGGGGTATTTTGTTTGTTTGTTTTTGTTTTAGCGTCATCATGTCTACAGATTACTAGCTGCAGTACATAAATCTCTAAAAAACTAAAGATCTTTTCATTAAGTATTTTTTGAATGAAGGTATGTTAGGGTCCAGTGTACTATGTGTGACAGAAAAGCAAGCAGATAGTTTAAAAACCTTTGAGGGGTAAGAAGGGGACACATTTGCATAAACAACACAGGCCTCAAAGACCACCCAGATTCCAGAATATTCTTTCAGGGACCCACTGGTGTTTATTAAATTTCCTTTTGCTTATTGGAATCTTTAGTGCTGTTTACACACAGTGGCTGGTGTGAGTTCTGCATGAAGTAGGCACTTCAAAAAGGGCCAATGGATTCATCTTTACTACCAAGATCTTCAGCAAACCCAACTTGAATAGCCCTGAGCTAGACACCACCAAGAATGGGAAGACCTGGTTTTAGGCCATTCTAATAAAAGTTTGCCATAAAAATGTACAAAGAGAGGCAGAATTTCCCATCATCAAGAGCCAGTATCTGAAAAGGTCGTGTATGGCAAACAGAACAAAATCATCATATCATGAGTATAGCATCTGGACCCAGAGTGGGCAGTTGTCAATTTTAATGAAAAACCTTCTTTAGGAATTTTTAATTTTTAGAGCGTGCATTGGTATAGTCAAACGGTGGAACTTCAGCCAGCACCCCCAGAGAGAAGTCACTGGATACTTGAGACCTACAAAAACGCAGTAGGCATCAGGAAAACAAATTTAGTGAAGTGGAAAATTTTTATCAATTGCGTTTTACAAATCTTCTTGTCTCTATTAAAGGTCGTAATTAAATAAACAATCGGCAATTAGTTATAATAGAGGATGTGTGCTTCTAAAGATCTCACATTGTTTGGTAAGCTTGATTAATGATTATAAGCCTGTTTACAAGTATCGGTTCACTCATCTCTGAAATGTAGCCATCTCTGGGGTGGAAGTTGGCAGCGGTAGTTCACAGTAACACAATAACATACTGCAACATGATTTAGGGAATACTCTGAAGGCAAGGGCTGACGGACTGGGATGATGTCTCTTCCTGTAACACCTACATTTCTTCTCAGTTTTCCTAAAACCTGGCCAAAGCCAAAACTGTTTCGTTTTACTCTCTGGCAAGCTCTGGAGATATGAATTCATGTTTGCAAGCCAGAAAAAGAAAAGAGTATATTTTGGCCCTAGGGAAGGAAATCAACAACAAAAGAGCTAAATAGAATTCAGGATTGTATTGTAAAAGTGAAGTGGTTTCCTTTAAGGAAGTGGGTTGTTCTTTTAAATTATTATTTGTGTTAAGAGAGTAAAAGCAGGTTCGTTGAGTCCAATATATCACTGGCTCTTAGTGAAAATCATGGCAGCTACATAAGATCTGGAATCAAGCATCAGTCAGGATGGGAGAGGGAGGGAGGGAGGGAGAGAGAGAGAAAGAGAGAGAGAGAAACATCAATGATGAGAGAAAATCATTTATCAGCTGTTTCCTGCACCCTCCCTACTGGTGATAGAGCCTACAACCTAGGCATGTGCCCTTGGCTGGAATCAAACCCAGGATCCTTAATTGAGTTAAGGGTCTGCAGGCCAATGCTCTATCCACTGAGCTAAACCAGCTAGGGCACTTCTGTGTTTCTTATTGCTAGTAATGCCCAGTACCCTAAAGCCTTCCTCCTGGTTTCAGGCAGCAGCTAGTAGAACCAGGCTTACTGCCCAGGGTCCATTCTCAGCTTTGCCATTTCAAGATAGACAGTAGGGAGGAAGGAAATAAATGCCAAATTTAATGCAAAGAATAAAGAATTTTGGAAGAACCCAATTGATCAAGAGCTGGGCCTGACAAAGATTTCACTGGCCATGGAAAAGGAAAAGAAAAAGGCGATTGGTGCAGATCAAGCTTGTTGGATATTTTTGACTATCTTCAAGACCTCTCCTCTCCCTTCCCATGAGAATTGGGCAAATTGTTCATAGCACCTCCAGCTTGATTTGGGCCTCCGAAAGCAGTTACCACTTGTATCTTGTTTCCCAAGAGGGACTTTCAAAGTGAGCAAGGTCCCACAGCTCCCCAGTGCCATGCTCCATGCTGGCTTGGAGCAGCAACAGAAGCAGCAGACTAGCAGGTCAGGGGACTCCAGGCAAAGGTCTGAGGCAATTCCCTGAATCTCCTGTCATCAGAGAGACACCAGAGAAACCTCTGAGAATTTCACCTTGCCCAGAAAGGTATGCAAATGACTAAGAAACCACTGGACAGACCCACAGGATCTGCTATGTCAGGATTGCGAAGATCTGTTTCGCATACATGCATCAAGGGCCAGGGACCAATCATGCTGTGACT